TGGAGCGGGGTAGCGTTCTTCGTCGTCGTCCGTTGGCGAAACGTCGTCGTCAGCGACGAAAGAGAGAGCGAGATAGAGAGATAGATATAGAGAGAGAAAGAGAGAGAAAAAGAATGAAAGAAAGAAAATGAGACCGAGAACGATCTCCTCCAAGTACCGTATATCTTCTGCGTAATTCTCCAGCTTACTCACGAGTCACAGTACACTACCGAGAAAAAATCACCCTCGAGATCGCGAACTGTCCTTCTTCTTTTAGGCCGGTTGCCCGCAACGGCGAACTGCTGCGGAGGCAGCGAGCCGCTCGCGGACGATAAGAGAGAGTAAAATGAAATAAAGAAAGAATGAGAGAGAGAGAGAGAGAGAGAAGATAGAAAGGAAGAGCGAGAGAGTCTCTCTCTCTCTAGCGATTTCTTATCTCGCGTTCCTCTCGCAACGTTACATCGACGGATTACACCAATCGAGCAGGCCCCACAGGCGGTGTGACGACGGTGGTGCAACGACGTCGCGACGACGACGACGACTACGACGACGACGAGGGTTGGCAGCGGCGGGACCAAAGCGGCGAAGCGCAGGAAGAGAGAGAGAGAAGTAGGCCGGTTAACCGTTCAGGCCGCACTGAAGAGTCGAGCGAGCCGCGGGTTAGTGAGGGTGAACCGGCGGGCGGCCTGGCATCCCTTCCTCTCTCACATCCCTCCGACTCTCTCTTGCACACCCCGCGCTACGCCACCGGCCGAGCACCCTCAACCCACCCCACAGCCCGCCGCCACCCCGCCGTCAGCCACCCGATCACCCTCGCCGCTCTCGCTCGCTGTTCGTTACGTCTCTTCGCTCTACTCCAACCCGTCGGCACGACGGATTTAATAGGACAGTTTTTGTAATAGGGTAATAATAGTGAGTAATAATGTAGTAGTGGAAAATAGTATCAAGAAACATTGGAGTAAGAGTAAAATTGTGATACACCGTAATAATACAATAATACTATTGTGTAATATATTAATGAAATAGGGTAAAATATACTTGATTATTAGATAGGTGATTTATAATGTAGATGTTAATATAAAAATAATACACGCGAGAATGCGACATGTAAAATAATATCAAGAAACGTTGTAATAAAAATAAAAAAATTGTGAGTAAACCTAAAATTGTGATAAACTGTAATAATATAATAATACTATTGTGTAATATATTAATGAAATAGGGTAAAATATATTTGATTATTAGATAAGTGATTTATAATGTAGATGTTAATATAAAAATAATAGGGGAGACCGGGATAAATAGATTAATCGAAGCTACGTTGCAAACAAATAGCGCGAGACTCGCGTAAACGTGTCTCAGCACGCAGCAGTGACTACCGCTCAGTCTGTTGTGATATCGCGAGGCAGACGCATCTTTCAAAAAAGTTACGCTACAATTTAAAAAAATCGAACACGTAAGTAAATATTTTCATTCTTAAAGTTTTTGTTTTACAATTGTGTATAATTGTCTGAGATATTTGATTTCCATTTATATAGTAAGTGTAGTTCTTACTTAATAAAGTCCAACAGGTTTTTTTGTTTATCTGTCTTTGTTATTGTATACTGTTAATGTTTTTAAAAAATGAACGGATGGGACTAGTAGGCTAACCATAACACGGGGCTATATGACTAATTTAGTGACGATTCTGATAGTACCTACTACTCTCAAACTTCTTGGAATGAAATCTCACTCTAAAAGAATGAAAATACAGATAATTTTGAAAAAGAGTGAAAATATACCAATTTCTTGAAAAAGAATGGCAATATTTCATTCTTTTAAAGAGATTTACCTCAGTGGTAAATGTTATAAGTTTAGTTCCCTCGCGTCCAATCTCGATAAAACTAGGCTCTTTCGACGTGTTTTTGCACAAAAAGAACGAATTTACAAAATTTAGCAAAAAGGAGCATTATTCTGCCTTGCGAATTGAAATATTAATCGTTAAAGTTTGTTAGGTTAGGAAATCTGTCATTCGCTACGTCCTGGTAAAAACGTCGATAGCATGTTTTGAATATGAAATTTGGTTCGTAAATTCACTAATTTGAATCAGATCTTATAGGACTCTTGTACAAATCTTATAAAATCTACCTCGAGAATGCGATATGTAAAATAATATCAAGAAACGTTGTAATAAAAATAAAATTATGACAAACTATAATAATACAATAACACTATTATTGTATAATGTATAAATAAAAAATAGATTAAAATATATTTTGTTATTAGATAGATGATTAATAATACAAAAATTAATATAAAAATAATACACACAAGAGAGGGAGAGAGAATGCGACATGTAAAATAGTTTATCATAAAATATTGTAATAAAAATAAAACTACGATAAACTATAATAGTATAATAAACTATAATGTATTAATAAATATATAATAACAATACTATCGTATAATGTACAAATAAAATAGAGTAAAATGTACTTCGTTATCAGATAGATGATTTATAATATAGAAGTTAATATAAAAATATAATACACACAAGAATGTGACATATAAATCAAAAGAATAATTCCCTTTATTAGTCTTCATATTCATTTAGAGATGACTTCAGAGTGACTTTCGATAGGATGTCTCTTAAATGGACGCTAGCTGTAAGCGAAATTTCCGCTCGTGGCGCATCCCTTTGACACCCTCCCTGATAATTTAATTACTTCGACGTTTTTCAGTACAAAGGAAAAGCGCACCGTCAATCTATTTAATAAAAACGTTGAAAATCGATTCAATAATCTACGAATCGGTACACGTGTTGTAAACAGATGCTTAATTTTGGTAAACCAAGAAACTGTTTTCAAAAGATTAAACAGATTACAGAGTTGCACACAAGATGCTTTATAATCTTTACTTTTACTCAATAAGAAAGAAAAAAATTCCCCGAGATTTATTGTGAAAAATAAACAGAAGTTATTCGCAATAAATCGTGTTCTAGTGTATATTTGAACATGTGAGAAATGAAATCATCGAAAGTCATGGAAGCAATTTATCAATTATTCTTGAATCGGATGCAAGGTAATGGAAAAGCAAGAAAAGGGAAAGAAAATGGAAGGGAAATACATGCAGCGTACATTCCGTACTCCTAAGTTTTTCACGTCGATTAGCATAATTGCGTGATATTGTCAGTGGTGGATAAGATATTCTTAAAATTTATCTAGATACAGATACAGTTACATGTACGAAAATTTATCTAAACACAGATATAGATACACATATTAAAACATATATAGATACAGATATCAGATACTTTAAAAGTGTCTTCAAATACATTTCAGATACTCTTACATTAATTTTATTGTAATAATGGTAATGTGTAAAAAAATGTATTAGTTATTAAATGAATCATTTATTCATTCATTTTTGTTACATTTAGATAATTGAAAAAAATTATAATTATCGTAAAACGATTTAGAATAAGAATTATAAGATGATATTATTCATCATTATTCATTATAGTTTTACAAACTAAAAATGCTTCGAACATTGTATTTCCAGCTTAACTATACATACATGCGTTAGAAATTCTACAATCTAAGATCACTGATTGCGTTCAGCAGAAAAAGCAGCTGTGTAACTGTAAAATTCTTTAATATATGACTGATTTGCATTTAGATTCAGTGAGGAACTAAGGGAAACATCAATCATGTTATAGAATTTTACAACAACAAAGCTGCTTTTTTTCTGCGGAATGGAATCAATCACAATCATACACAAAATGGAATTATGTTGAGGAAATGTATCTGAAAAATGCATTTGAAAATCAGTTCAGATGCTACGTTTTTTTATCTAGATACAGATACAAATACTCGAATTTGAATGTACCTCAGATACAGATTAGATACACAAAATCTAGATCTCATGTATAGAGATACTACTCAACACTGGATATCGTATATTTGATAAGAGACCCAATAATGACGATCTATAGCCTTGGCCAAAAATATTAGGCACTTATATTTTTTTATTCATCTAAAATTCTTTTATCTGCATTGTTATCTACCCTGATAGCAAAATTTAGCAATTTGGGGCCAAATTGGCAGCAAATTCCATCAGATTTTGACTACAAAACCATAGCCATCTATGTCCGCATTTGGCTATGGATTTGTCGACAAAGCCTATTGACAGGCTATGCCAGCAGATTGGTGGCAGAAACCGAGCAGAGTCTGCTCGAATCAGGTTCTGCTCTCAATCTGCTCTTAATCTGCCGTTAAGTTATGCAAGACTTTGCTCGGTTTTGTTACCAATCTGCTGGCATAGCATGTCTAGCAGGCTTTGGTATATTTCTGGCAGCAATTTGCTGACAATGTCACATAACATAAATTCTGTATACAATTTAGTGCCTTTCTGCAATCAAAAATTGGTAGCAGGTTCTGTTCAAAATCTGTCTCCGCAGGCTTTGTTATCAGGGTATTTACTGAGAGAAAAATGTACTAAATTTTAATGAATAATTGTTTGATTAATACTACCGTAACATTTATTTACAGAAAATACATATATGCTAAATAAAAAATAATGATTAAATCAAATTTATGGTTCTTGTACCAAATAAATACATGTTTATATTTAATAAGGCACTTTTATTAAAAAAAATATTTATTAATATTATTAAAATTTGGTACATTTTTCTCTCAATGTTGATTATCGGTATTGTACGTAAGTTTAAAAAGTTCTTGAAACGAAGGATAATTTTCAGGAAATGTCATAAATCAATTTCTGAGCTAAAGCTTTAAATAATGATTAATAAAGTGCCTAATATTTTTGGCCAAGGCTTATATAAGACAACATAATTTTCGCAATTATAATACGTGCGACTCTTTATCGTACGTCACAAGTCATACAAATGCAAAGACAATTACGCGACATTTGTTAAAGACTTAAGTTACAAAACGATTCTTGCGTAATTATCACATATTTCCCACCGAACATCTATAAATATCGTGCCAAAAGTACGATACCCAGTAATCTGCAATGTCGACTTGCCGACTCACCCTGAATCTACCAGAATCTCTCCACCGAGAATATCCAGGTGCGTTTCCACGTCGTTAATTTGCGAGAACGCTCATTGTTCGGAATAGTGGCGAATTCGGTGATTTTAAGAATATTTTGGCTATACAATATCGACGAGAAGTATCAATAAAAAAATCGATTAAAAAAATCAATATCTGCTGATATTAGCCAGCAAATTTTTTTCATAAATTCGTTCTGAATCCAAATGTAAAAAATAAAAAAAGATTCGGTTTATAATGGCTTTATGCAGCGAAATGCAGCATTTTGCTGCAGTTTATTAGAGTTTGATTTAATTCGTAATGCTATGATCTTATCAAATTTGCAAATAACTACTACAAACGCGATTTTATACACAAAGCTAACAAAAAAATTAAATAATTTTTATACCACTAAGAGAATTATGTTCAACTTTTACACGGATACTGAGACATACTATTAGAATAATATCTGATATGCCTATATTTCTGATAATGTTTTGAGATATGACACATACATTCTCTAAGAATGTATTCTGACCCCCTTCGTCTTCGGAAGCGGTTAAATCGACCGTGTTTTCTGCTTTGTACAGAAAAATGAACTTCGTAGCGTTCGGGCTTATTCTGATCTGTTGCCATGCCTGGGCGATTGAGATAGACGATAATTGTAAGTAGATACTTACAGTATTTCTTCTCCTCTAATATTTCTCTAGACATATATCGAATAGTATTTTTCTGAAAATATATCGTTCTTACAATTACATCACACTATCTTTGTCTATTTTTAAACGATCTACTTTTAAGCCGCTTATTTTGGAAGATTCTATTTCTCACTTGTCTGTTTTGAACGGTATTTCGGTTTTTGATACAGAGATTTTAGACATTATATATTTGAATAAGTCTATTTATGAATGCTTTATTTTCGTCGATCTATTCTTCATATATATCGATATCAATTCCCGCGATTCTACAGATCTTTCCGTGCTTCGCGTATTTTTTTGTTCTAGTTTTAATGATAATATTCTATCAGAGAGAAATCGACATCATTATTATGCAATATCGACATCCTTATATATATTTACTATCAACATCCTTACATATATTTATCACTGATTATTTGACATATATATTTAGTTGCAGTTGTACTGTCCAACATATATCAAACAAACTTCAAAAATTTCCTCGAAAAGTACAAGTCCTTACTGCAAAATGGAAACAGTGGGTTCATGTACGGAATTCCGATTCGTGATCCGTTCATTATAGAGAGACTGCCCATCGAATATAATTTATCTACTCCGTTGGGTAACATAGAGTGCGTATCAGTTTAATTTTTGAAGTAACACGTTGATCGCTAAAGCGTTAAATCAACATTTACTTCTAGATCGACAGAGAATGTGTTATCACGATTATATGCTTTTAAATATCTTTCAAATAATCAACTACTTTAACTTAAATGTTAAATATTGACAGACTCCTTTAATTAACAAAACAAATAAGAAGTAAAAAACAAGGCCATAGGAGTCAACCGCAAGATTATATGCTTTTAATCAATATCTTTTACTTGATAGTATTTTTTTAATTTGTCGCCATATGTTATGCAGTAGAATTTATACACTTAAAAAGAGATATAATGCTAAAAGTATTTATATAGGGAAGATTTTTTTATAAAAAAAATCTTATTAATAAAGAATAAACCTTAATTTTTTAACAATTTATTAACGAATACATTCTTTCCTAATATAAATAAAAGTTCTTCGTAAAAATAACCGTTTAAAAACTAAATTTCTCGATTGTATTTCTTCTACGATCAAAAGAATATACTTTTTCATGTTTATTATAATATTAATATATTTTTATTATTACACAACTTTTTAGGTAAAATAATTAAAAAAATATATAACTTATTTCATTTTTTACTAATTTTTGCTAATTAATAATGTTTATTTTCTAAAAACAAAGTTTCTTTAAAAAAAAATATCTTTCCCCTGTACGAATACTTTTTGCACTCATTGCAAATTTAAAAAATATAGTTTAGCGAGGGGAGATCCCAAGCAGAACAAGATGATATCAAAATGATGTCAAGATGATTACAAAATGATCATTAAAAGTCATTTTTCAATCATTTTTTATTCATTTTAACGTTATGTCATTTTGACATCATAGCGATTTGTTGTTCTGCTTGGAATATATCTTAATTTAACATGTATCATGTATGACATGACAGTATCATAAACGATTCGTTATTAGACGAAGTAAAGAACGAAGTTTAATAACGACTAGCAAATTTTTTATTTTTTCTTCGTTCTTTCAGCCTCGAGGGATTCCTTGAAAACCTTAACTTGAGTTGTTTGGCCTCGTTTAACATTAACAGCCCTAAATTCAAACTAATTAATATGAATGCCTACATAGATCTAAGCTGGCCGTTGATAACCGCGAATACTAATTACTCCTTGGAAGGCAACGTCTTTAACTACGATATTCATAAAGCTGGAAATATGGAGTAAGTATTTATTTCTTTCGAGAGAATCTAATTATCATACTTCGATCGCGATTTTCTAATATCTATGGCACACGAAAAAGGATCTTGCTGCCAATTTTTGCATTTTATTATTTATCAGTAAAAGACAGAAGAATTTAAATCTTTAGCGAATGTGTATTAATTTCAATTATTATTATCATAATAATATATTGTGTTTATCTTCATCGTAATTAAAATAAATAATTATTTATCATCATTAGCATAATTATAATTGATCATTATTATCATAATTATTGCAATGAGAAAGATCGCTGGTCTTTCCTCGTAAAGAACGTTCGGTTTTCATTCCGCTTCATCTATATTTAACTACAATGCTTGAAATATGTACGTGAAAAAAAAACGAGAGCTGGAATGACTGACAATGAGTTAGCCGTTTTTCATTCAACGCTTTCGCGACTTTATCAGGCGACTCCAACTGCGACAAAGCGCGTTATTAAATCGTGACTGCATTTATATGCTTTGCGCTAAACACGCGATCGCGCCGATCCGTGATCTCGCGTTCAGCTTTCTTACGGTCGGTGGTCAGGCTCGCTTTTAACAAACGCGAAACTCAATTGAGATTGCTTTGATGGAAATTTCAACGGGACTTTTTTTAGATTTAAGATAATTTATCGCTCCATTATTAAATTGAATGATAAATTTATATTTAAATGAATCTTTTTAACGCGCACAAAATCAGGAAGAAAGATCTTTTTGACGGCGTTCATTTAAAATTTATAGTAATTAATTATTTTTTGTCAATAAATACTATTCCTTTGTAATTAAGTTCCTGCCTTCAAAATTACACACTGAAAAAAGAGTCTAGTTATAGCTACCATCAAATAATGAATGAAATAATTATTTATGAAGTTATGTTTAGTTATTATCTCAACATTTAGTTGAAATTATTTCACTCAATATTTGATGGCTATAACCAGGCACTTTTGTCAGTGCAGGATACATTTTTATAATATTTCTTTCCACTTTATTTATTTCTATATTTTGTCTATTTCTATATATTTTTTATTTTTATGCATCTTGATAATTTTTTAAAGTAAAAATTTGAGATCATAAAGTCTTTAAAGCTACAGAGTTATATTTAATTTTTAGTGGAATCGCATATAACTTCAGAACTATTATGAATGTTGATTTAAAACTGAAGGGCCTGCATATGCAAGTTCAAAATGTAAAATCACAGATTTTATTGGAAGCATTGAACGTAAGTAATTAAGCTACAGTTCTGTCAATTCTTTTCTGGCTTTTGCGATTGACCCGCATCTATAAGCGATCAAGCTAATGCAAAAATAATATTGAATTTAAAATAAGTAACTTTATGTTAACAATCTTCAGATAACTTATTGAGAAATAAAATATATATATAATTTTAAAACTCTATTAACGATTTTCATATTGTTCAAAATAAAGAGTAATTCAAATTAAATGTAAGAATTAAGTTAAAAGAAAAAAATAGTAAAAATCAAATATCGTTTTACAACTTTATATTTCAGATATTGAACTTTCTTGACCATTTTTCTCGTGTAAGCTTATGTTACAAGTTTTCTCTACAATGTTATGCACATTTAATTTTTCAAAATTTTAAAGAATAATTTATTAATTTTTTTAATATGTTAAATAGTATGTTAAATTCTTTTTGTATATTGTTCAAAATAAAGAGTAATTCAAATTAAATGTAAGAATTAAGTTAAAAGAAAAAAATAGTAAAAATCAAATATCGTTTTACAACTTTATATTTCAGATATTGAACTTTCTTGACCATTTTTCTCGTGTAAGCTTATGTTACAAGTTTTCTCTACAATGTTATGCACATTTAATTTTTCAAAATTTTAAAGAATAATTTATTAATTTTTTTAATATGTTAAATAGTATGTTAAATTCTTTTTGTGATTACATCAATTATTATGCGAGAAAATTGTTACTTGTACGATATATCAAATTAACACTACCACGTTTTTGCTTTTCAATTTGCATATATAAAAAGGCAACCCAGTCACACTGCTGCTAGCATAGATATCGATGTTGTTACAAACTGCTATTATAAAAAAGACTCGAAAAATTTACATCTTATTTGGCTTAAAAAAAATTGTTACTGAGCTCTCCAGAAACTTTTTGTCTAATAAGCATATATTTATATGTCAAACAATATGTATTAAAATTTATATAAAATAATGTAGATTTTAAAAAGATTAAGCAGATAGAAAAAAAGAAATAAGTTGACTGTGAAAAGTCGCGATTGGTCTAATCATGGAGTCTCCATAAAACACTGATTTAATTTCTCTAATCGATTTTAATGAATTTATTTTACTTGAAAAAAAATCATAAATATGCAGCTGAAATTATAGGAGTTCGACATTTTACATGCAACGACTCTATAGAAGCTGATTCAAGTCAAAACGTCCCTCAAACGTTTCTCAATGAATTCGATTGCATGGAATAAAAAAAAACATAGGGTAACTCCGGTATATACGCCGCACCTATCAAAAACTTAATTTATTACGTATTATTTACTATGTTTAAAGTAAACGAACTATATCAGTAAAAACTTTGTCTACTTCTACTGTCTACTATTATGAAAAAAATATTAGAAATCCGAAATATATATATATTTATTTTTCGTATTAAGAAATGAACTTTTTGAAACCCTTGCATTTTTGCCGTATTTCCTATAGGGGTGAGATATATGGTTACTCATAGGGGAGAGGGGAGTATGTACGGCTCATGAAAAATTTACAAATAATGCTTATAAATAAGACATAAAATGACACAATAACTTATAAAATGCGTTTATAAAGTTTTATTAAGGAATAAGAATGATAAATATATATATAAAGTAATAAATCATAATTACAATCTTCCTACATATATTACAAGTGTTATAACATGAGGTACATATTTTGTGTAATATATTTATTGTATTTAGTGCACTGAATTCAATCTGCGCACTTTGTATGCTTTGGGCATATAAATCTCATCCGCTAAAAATTCCGTATATCTCAAACAGATGGGATATACAAGACAACAAACTAAACAAAGAATACGAAAGCAAAGCACTTGTATTTTGCTATAAAACATGCTTTACTTATTCCTCTACACGTATGTATCACGAAATAATCACTAAGTCTTTTACACGCCCTACAGTAATCATTTTATGTAGATTATAATTTATGATAGCGCTACTTATTGCAGTGACAAATCGATTCAACTCTCAATAATTTCATTAATATTAACAATAAGAGGCTGAAATTATAACACAATACTAATATAATATAAAGGCATGTAACAGAGTAGTTGTGGAAAAATTACCCCTACTCCTATTTTTTCTGTCTTTTGCGGCGTAATTCCCAGCGCGGCGTATTTGCCGGAGTTACCCTAATTAATTTTCTGTCACTGACTATTTTCACTTTTCCTGATTTTTAATAAAATTTTCTTTCCTATTGCTCGCAGTTTAACATAACGGGCATCTACAACGATGAGGACATGTCCGAGATATTCAGCAAGACCATCTCTGATGTAATACCTAAGCTCATCGCCTCCAACCAAAACATGATTGAGTATATTATTAATAACATTGCCTCGCAGATTCTCAACAAATATCTATTAACTATAACATTTATGGACCTATTGAAAATAATAAGTCCAATCTAATAATTTTTCTACCATGTTGGCGCCACGCTATCGTTCGATCAATCATTTCTACAACCACGATCGATCCCAGTTGAACGATAAAAATAAATGATGCACTTGAAGAGTATTTGTTGGTATTTGTTGGTAATAAAAATAAATAATGCACTTGAAGAGTATTTGTTGATAATATCGTCAAAGACAAAAAATCTTTAACGATTTTGTATTAAATTTATTTCTGCAATGTACTAATAAAATAAGCAGGGTTGGGAAAGTTACTTTGTAAAAATAACTAGTTACAGTTACAGTTTTGTTCTTTCAAAAGTAACTAGTTACAGTTCCAAATTACCGAGACTAAAAATTAACTCGTTACAATTACAGTTACTAAAAAAGTAACTTTTCAGTTACTTTTCTGTTATCATGACAAAACAATATGAGTATCACCGATATCATTAGAGCTATCAAAGAAAAAAATAATTTACGTTTACGATACAATTTTATCAAAAAATTCCTTTAATTTTGCGGGAATATATGCGAGATAACTCAAATAACGGACGAAATAATAACATGCATTTAATAATTAACGCCATTACAAATATTAAACAATGAAATGATATACGTGAGAGTTGGGGATGTTAAGTGGAACGCATCCTTAGCGCATTTGATTGACCAATCGAAAGAAAGAAGTTGACAAACTGACCAATCAAAAAATACTTCGAAGCTGTTAAATTAGTTTCTAGTTATTGGAAGAAATATAACTAAGTTAAGTTACAATTACAGATGGAAAAAAGGAACTAAGTTAAGTTATAGTTACTGAAAAAAAGAAACTATAATTTAGCTACAAGTAACTAATTACTTCCCAACCCTGAAAATAAATATAAAAATCGCAAGCGTGAAAAGATTTCACCCTTCCTTTATAATAAATTTCATTCTTTATGTTATTTTCATATTAATATTAAAAATAGAAAGTCGATATCAATTAAAAGTAACATAACATTAAATTAAAAATAAGGTAATACTAACATAATTTGTAAACAAATTGCAAGAGCATTTTTTAAAATAAAATTAACGATTATGATATTTTAAATAACATGATATTTTATTCATTTATCTTAGAATTTATCTTTTAAGTATATTATTTTTACGTCATTTACTCATTTAAGTAACACATAAATTGTGTTACTTTGACATTAAGAAATGTTAAATCTCAATTTAGCATAAAATACTTAAATAACATAATCACATTATGTTAAATTAATACTTGAATATGTTAAAAATTCAACACGAAATTTTAACAAGGACTTGAATAGATCAATGTAAAATGTTTTTTACTGTATATGGTAAAGTATGAAAGAGAAAAAAATATGTCTGATATTATATATCACATTTCATATAAAATTATTCCTAAAAAATGAGTGTGCAAATATATTTGTGCGCCTTGCACATAGTAATGAACAGATTTTGAAAATACTATACGTTCGCATGATATCGCGTTTATCAGAAAAAAAGATAACTCGATAAAATCTACAATTGAGGAAAAACGAGAAAGAATTTAAGATTCAATTAATCTAATCTTCTTTTTTGTTATATATGCTTATTGCGACAACTCTTCATTTTAACACTCTACCTTATATTAAAATGTCGCTACAATATAAAATTGAATTATTTACTTACTTCAGTTACACAATCTATATATCTGTCTGATGCATAAAATAATATTTATCTTATTATCCAGATTTTTATTACAACTTACAGTTAAATAATATTACGAATTCATAATGTTATCTGTAAAAATGTTCATGTGCGATATTAATTTCTACCGACATAAAATAGATCTACTATGTATCTTCTTCATTTAGTTTAGTGGATATTCAAAGTCTACTCACTTAGTAAAAAAATGTAATTTTGACAGACTCTTATATTTTTATACAAATATTTGACTCTATTAAATCAAATAAATTGTCATTGCTCATAAAAAATTTTAATTATGAAATAAAAAAATGTTATAAAGACACAAAATATTCTTTTATATTGGGTATGGGAATAAGTTTCCGCCCATTGTAGAGAGACATCGTTAGTAGCACTGCTTGGGTGTTTAATAAAACGGCAATACAGTATTTGAAAGGTAAGCGTTCAGTGCCAACTACTGGGCTTTTGAGCCCAGAGTAATTTTTTTTGCGTTAAAAGTGTCGGAATTTATTCCAAAAAAGCAACATTTGCGGGAAGTTTTACTCCATTATTCCATTTTAAAGAAAAGTGCTGCGGAAACGCATCGTAGATATTTATGATGAGCATGCTCCATCGAATACTACTTGTAAAGAATGATATCGGCGATTCAATAATGGCGATTTCGACGTGCGTGATAAAGAACGCGAAGGTGCACCAAAAAAATTTGAAGATGCAGAATTGCAAGCATTACTCGAAGAAACCATCACTGGCTATCGTTATCGACTACAAGTGATACGTTTGAACTAAGCTTTGAAAGAAAAATGACCGGAATGGGACAATAGGCACAACAAGTTGATTCTGCTACATGACAACGCTATGTCACACGTTGCAAAACCGATCAAGAAATACTTGGCAGGAGTGAAGTGGAAAATTCTGCCCCACCCGCCGTATTCACCGAACATTGCTCCTTCAGATTTCCATTTGTTCCGGTCCATGCAGTCGGCCCTTTCTGGAGAACGATTCAATTCTTATGAAGGTATCAAAAAATGGCTTGATGAATGGATCGCTTCAAAAGAACCAGATTTTTTCCTTCGAGGAATCCGTTTATTACCGAAAAGGTGGAAGAAAGTTGTCGCTTCCGACGGAGCATACTTTGAATAAACTCACTTTGTATCGTTTTGTTTAAATAAATACATCTTTTTCATTAAAAAAAGGGCGGAAACTTAGTCCCATACCCAATATAAAAAAAGGTTTGGTAATAGCTACCAAATATTTAGTGAAATAATGCTAATTAAACATTTGATTAATATAACTAAACAATTTTTTACTTTCTTAAATATTTAGTAAGTATATTATTAAACGGTTACCATTTATATAGATATTACAAAAATCTTTTCTTAGTGTATTAAATATGAGGAAACTCACATTGTACCGATTTAAAAAAATTCGTACAGTATTTTAATTCCTGCCAAGACTGCGCATTATCTCTATATACATCACTTAATTGTTACACAAGTTAAAGCGTAACAAGCTGATTTATAATCTAATCTTGAGTCTAATCTCTGGTTTTGATAAGAGTCACAGGACTCATTACAAGAAAACAAATCCATCGCACCAAAATAAAATTAATCATAATTACATAATTGCAGTTAATTGCGCTTCCTATTCACGACGCAACGTGAAAATTGCCATTAACAACTACTTCGATGTTTTCAAGAAAACTCAATGGAATTTTTCCACATAAGAAAAATGAAAAAAATATAAAACTTTGCACGATTTTGTACGAAATCAAATTCCTGAAGTGGACAAAGATCGAATCGTTGTATGATATACGTAATCAATAAGAAATCTTGATTCGATATCAGCGAATTGTGCCTATAAATACGTCCACATTTTCTTCAGCTCGCAGTTTTGTTTGTGCTGTCTACAAACGCAAAGTCGGACGATTGTTAGAATACTGGTGTAAATCAACTTACGACAAGCCGTACGTAAACAGTATACATGATCGTTCTAGGCCTTAAAGGCCACATAAGTTTTCACAGATAATAAAAAAATATATACTTTCAAGCACAAATAGATATTAAACGCGAGTAATGAGTCAACTAAATTTATTTAACTAAATTTAACTGAAATATAAATTTCCTTCGGCTTCCGTCTCTTAAATATCCGTGGAAAGATGCGAAAATATATTCGATTGCGATGTTCTTTTACGATAATAACATTGGCCAATGATAATAATGGGAATTCGTTAGCTTTAAGGCTGATAGGTATATACTGTGACAGCGTAACTAAATAGACCATGTTTTCTACTTCACGCAGAAAAATGAAGCTGCCGATAGTGTTCGGGCTCATCCTGATCTGTTGCAATGCAAGGGCAATGAAAATAAACGGTAAGCAGATATCTATATTTTTTCTTCTGTTCCCTTGTGTATTTCTCTTATATTTCTCTAGAGATACATTTCTCCAAGCCAGTGATGCACAACTTTTTTAAGGATCATTTTCAAAAGAACATTTTAGAAATATTTAAAATCTTTCAGGCCGTATAATGTTTATTTCATTTGTGTAAAATAGAAAATATGATTTTATATTTCCGGCTATGAGTCGGTGGGCCAAAAATTCACAGATAAACCTCATACGACCCGTGAACCGCAAGTTGTGCAATGCTGCATCAAACCATATTTTTCTAAAGGAATAAATCGTTTATATTATTTATTTCATGCCTATTTTTATATCGTCTGTTCTTCAATCTGCAATTAAATTATTTATTTTTAGACATTCAATTGTTTTTCTCTTAAAAATACTTTTCTTGAAAGATATTTTTGATAAAAAGATCTTAATTGCGTATTTTTTAATAATCTATTTATCATATTATCAGATTATATATATATATTATCACGAATTAATTATTTTTTTATATTATTATTATTTTCGCGATTTTACGCTTTTATTATTAATACATTATTAAGAATATAATTAATATTATCAATTTTTAAGACTATTTTTTCACTCAACGTATTTTTTTTAAAATACGAGATATTTCTCCCTTTAATAATAATATTTTATCAAAAATATAAACCTTTGCATTTATTTACGTAAGCTAATAATGGAATAAATGTTATCAAAATTTACATAAATGTTATTTTTCCTTAGCAGAGCCGTTTGGAAATCCTTTGATACAAGATTTTCTCGAGAAGTTAAAAAATACTATGAAGACAGGAAGCACGAAACTTGGATTGCCGATTCTTGATCCATTCAAAGCGGACCAGCTTGCGATTAATGTTAATGAAGACGTAATAAAGTGTGTGCCGTTTCAATTTTTATTACAATTTTTAATTACACAATATCTACGATATGAACAAAAAAGCCACAAAACCAAATATTGCTTCATAGCCTTTTTTCATCGTCTTTTTTCGTTTGAATTTATTTTGCTTATTTATGATAATAAGATAAATCTGTAACTCTCATTTATCTTCTTTTTAGTAAAACTGTAAGCGTGGTTTAATATTTTTGACACAAATACTTTTTTTAAATAGTAACAGTTAATGATTTGCAGCATTTTACTTAAACAAAAAAAAAACAAAATGTGTTTATCACGGAATTAAATTTATAATTTTTTTTATACTCTCTCTCTTTATACTTTTTATACTTTTTAACATTATAAATTTTTTTTATATCTTTTGTACATTTTCAGATTGAATGCGAATTTGAGTAAAGTCAATGCAAACGGTTTATCTGGATATGATATCATCAATGCGGATTTGAACATGTCTGGAGACATTGTCATTGTAATTCATCTTTCGTGGCCATTGATCACCGCGAATACTAATTATGACATGAAAGGCAAAATCGACAATTTCGAAATTTTCGGTAATGGTGACATAAAGTGAGTATTATTCGTTTCTTAACGATTGAAAATTGAAATCAATATAATAGCGGCGAATTAAAAATTTTAAGAATTACTATTCAAAATTAGATTAACAAGAATAAATCGATTAAGATAAAAAATAATCCTATTTTTGGTCAAAGCGGATTTTAGTTGCTTATTAATACTAATATGTGCAAACGTTTGCATACATTTTTTTCAGTTCTATAAACTGCGCATCGATTCGACTTACATCGAATTTGAAACGCAATTGCAGACTGAAGCAAGCTAAAGATATATCGCAAATTAAATTGATCGTCAATTTTAATAATGATGCTGAGCATCTTAAAAACCTGTAAAATAATTTATTGCAAAAAATATCACCTCAGCCAGAGCGCTTTAATTAAAAATAGGATTATTTCTCTTGATTGATTAATTTTAAGAATTTTAAATTAATTTTTAGAGACTTTTAAATAACGAGTTTTTTATAAGATATTTTCCACTTATTTTATCACTAAACACCTTTGTTATAATTAAAATGAACATTTCTACATATCTTTATTTAAAATGAGTATCTAGATTGTTCAAAATATTGAAGTTGATAATGTACTGCGTATTCAATTTTCAGACTGTCCGCGCAAAATTTCGTTTTCAACACGGTAGTTACTTTCTTATGGGACGGTAATGTGAATTCATACTTGAAAGTGAAGGACATAAAATTGTTGCTTTCTTTACAGAAGCTAGATGTAAGTAAACAGAAATCTATCTTTTTTCTTCTCGCAATCTTCGCAATTATGTCGTTAAATGAAATTTCTAGAGATGCGAATTATTCGAATCAAAATATACAAATCAAATCGAGTCAAGTAAGATTCGAATCGATTCGTATTTGAATAATTCGTCATCATCGATCATCATCAATTCTGACTCTCGTATTTCTTTTCCTCCTTTTCCAATTGCTGACTAATACTTTCTATTATTTGCAGTTTAAAGCGACGGGCCTCTTTAACGACGAAGAAACATCTGCAATATTGAGTGCCATGGTTTCCGATATGGCACCTGAGTTCATAAGCAATGAAATGATTACAAGCAAGATTGTTGAACTTGTCACAAAGAAGCTCGACGATTTTCTGTCCACTAAGACGCTCTTAGAAATATTGAAAATGATCACGTAATGTCTTTAATATTAAAACTTTTCGTCAAATTGGCGGTGCCATTGTTTAATTAATCATTTTGTACAGTTACGATTCTAATCGATAAAACGATATGAACAGACTGGCTATGAAAGATTTGGAATATGATAATAGATCCATAAGATGATCATGTTCTAAGAGAAAAAGAATGCAATTAATAATTTAAAAATCAGCGTGTTTTTCTAAACAAATTAAAAATGCATTTTCTAAAACGTTTCCTGTCTTTCTTCTTTTATACAATAATAGGCAAATTAAAAAATTTTTACTCATATATTTGTTACAGCTAAAATTAAATACTGAGCTATTCTAGCCCGTCGATTTTAAAGCAATAGACCTGAAAAATAAAATGTTCTATTTGCTTGTAATATTGTATCTTTTTAATGTATAACACATTTGTACATATATTTATATACACTTTACATATATTTTATTCAATGTTATTACAAACTTAAATAATTAAAATTACTTTGATTTAAAATAAAGTTTGATATTTTGTCGACCTGCAAACACAAATGTGAAATCGAAAAATAATCGCGTTAAATTTTCTAATTTGACATCTCTAGATTGATTTTTGAAAGAGTCTTCTTCTTTTTAAATAGAAATTCTATAGAATTTTTCAAATAAAAGTTTTCCGTCAAAAATATCTATATAATAAATTATTCAAACAAAAAAGAGTAAGCAATTAGAATCAACTAAAATTAATTAATTAAAATTAATTTAAAATGTATAAGTAGCACATGGAACAAAATGAGCAGTATATGTATATTTATAGAAATTTATAAAAAGTATAAATATGTATATTAGAAATTATGACACATAAAGACACGTTCACCAAGATTTTTCGTCAAAATGACATGGTTTTTCAAATTTAATTTAACACATATTGCATGCATATTCATAATATATTTAAAGATAAATGTAATGTATCAACTCAAAGCATTACCAAAAATATAAAAATAATATATAGATTATTCTATTATTCCATCTAAAAAAGTATCTGTGTAAAATTTAAACCAATTTTCTTATTGGTTTAAAAATTATTTAATTATTTTCTGTTTGCCTTCATTCTTATGTAAAATCATATTCTGTAGTACTTATTTACAAATTTGATGAGGAAGTAGCGTTACGAATAAAAAATCGAATTCTTTATACATTTATAAAACTTCAATAAATATTCATGCAAAAGTTTATTTAGATCCATTTACTCGTTTAAAAGTTATTTACCTAAATTTATACTAAAAATGCAAAAAAAATCTTGCAAAAAAATTACAAAAAATATCTTAATTAAGCTACATAAGCCGTTACAAATAAAAAAAATTTGTTATGTATTTTGTTTTTTGCAGTTAGTTTCGGGACGTACTTATTTACGGCAAAATTAATGACAACTTTTTTGACTGATATTGGCTTCGTTCAGTAGAAAAAAAATCACTGAGCGCTTACTGATCAGTTTTTTCTGCTAAACGCAGCCACTATTAATTACCTAATATCTTCTGACTGATTTTGTATAGTCAAAACATCTTTATAACGACTCACAATAATAAATTTTTCACCTTATGGTTGCTCTGGCCGGTGTCGTCCGATGTCTCCCAGACAGCTTTTTCCTTTTTTGTTCCTCTACGGCCATTCTTGCGTAGCATTTCCTTGACACATAACTTTCGCGAACACAATTACCCGCGAACGCGTGCATCGATCATCGGAATATGACATATTGCGACGGCATTCAAAACGTTGAGCAAACGCAATACGCAATTTATTAAGGAAACTGAAAGTAGATCGATGCACGAAGTTACAATCCGTGAAGTTAGCGCGAGTCACGAGTGACGGAGCAGTCATTCGAAAGTCGCGCGGCTAACTTCACGCGCCAGGCCGCAGTTAGACTGCACCTGTTGCTCCCAGCTGCACCTTCGTGCACTTTTCGCGCCATGGATAAGCAGTGTGCATTCACAAATTCCGTTCAGGTACTTCTAGTGCACATTTGCTATAATATATGTAAAATGAACTATAGCCTAGAGTTATCTGGGAGTAATTCCTAATCGCATCCTATTATTTTGTGTAAGTAATAAATACACTTGATTGCGTTCAGTCGTTCAAACTATCCCGCGCATTCTAATAAATAATTCGCGCGAGATTCCTTTGTCAATTTCGGAGAGTGTGAGGGATATTGTGATCTTGCAAAGGTAAATGTGTGAGAGATATTGTGATCTTGCAAAGACAATTTTTTAATATAAGTACATTATGTATTCGAGATTATTTACGTAGAGTTACATTATAATATAAATAAAATAAAAGTAATTAATAATTATGTATTTATTTCAATTCCTTTTTTTAAAAACCCATAGACACACACACACACACACACACACACATATATACATATATACATATATATATTACCACCGACGAGATACTATTAAAGACCGTCAACCCTGGGTAAATTTTCGGCGGTATAAAAAGGGCCCCAAGGGCCCGGAGGTAATCGAAGAACGCTGACATTATCGACAATTGATATAAATTGCTATTATTAACATAAATATTTGACTAATACATTATTAAATTCATGATATTTTATTACATTAATGCTCTATAAATAAATATGCATATTTGTAAAGCTATAATATCCTATATATATTGCCGAAAAATTACAATTTTTTTTCTCTGCAGTTATTATCTCTGTTGATAATCGAACTTTGACGATAACACTGAAATCACAATTTTAAAGAAAACTCGAATATTATTGAGCTTTAAATGCACGTACACCGATAAACACGTCTACTAAACTAATACATCATAAAATTAGTACAATATTATCAGTTTTTTTACTCTTAATTACTTCAATATTAACAAGGACGCGAACTCCCATAAGGATGTCGGTCTTTAATAATATCTCGTCGGTGATATTACATATACACATTTACTATTACACATTACTAATACATATTTTAGCTTATTTCTGGGGTATTTTAGAAAGGCGGTTTTTAAATTCGAATTGGCAACACTGCGAGCGACATATTAAGGCCATCACACGTACAAAAATTTTAGTCGTAATCATAAAGTCGCAAATAAATCGACCAATCACAATCAAAATTACGATCTCGCGTTTAAAAACGCTCGACTGTGATTGGTCGATTTGTTTACGGCCTTACGATTACGACTAAAATTTTTGTGCGTGTGATGGCCTTAAGGTTTGTTCGCGTCGCAAGCTCTAACATGCTCCAACCCTATAAGCGCATAATATTATTTAATATGAAATAATATTTTAAGCATATTCTTAGAATATTAAATGTATCATTTTAAAAATATTTTACTAAAATTATATAATATTAAATGATATTCTTGAAATATTAATGGAAGGTTATATGTCCACTCCTGATAATATTATATGATTATTAAAAATAGCATTTATTTAATGTTACTGTAATATCGTATAAACATTAAAAAGTATTATAACAGCGCTCGCGCGCGCGCATTTACTTTAATTTGTAAAACTGTTACATCTGTTCAGTATAAGTATACATTTTAAAACTGAAAATAATTTTGGCGCGCAATTATAAAACTGAATATGTACTTAAAATCACGTCGAAACATTTTTTTAGCACAAGATGTAGCATAGACTGATAAGAACTTTTCGTTATTTAATTGTGAATTCAAATTGCACAAAATTAAAAATAATTAATATTTATAAGTATTTTAATAATATTTTAGGAATATTAAGATATAATACCTAGGGTATTGTATAAGTGGACATATAACCTCTATAGAATACTCCCCTATTATATTAAATATCCCGTATAATAACATTATAATGTTAATAATCAAATAACATTTCTCTATTGTAAGAATTATAATAAAAGATTTATTTTTTGAAAAAATGGCTAAAACATGGACACGTGGTCAATCTATTGCACAAGCTTCTAATTCATCTGTGGATAATAACAAAAAAAGAATTGACAGCAAGATTATACACTTCAGAATAGTCAAGAGTGCTAAAAATGTGATTTCATGGCCTTTATTGACCAATTCTGAACTTTTTGAACTTATATTTGATTGGAGTAATGAAATAATATCGAATTTTATTGTTGGAAGTATTATAACTCGGAACAAAGTTTGTTAAAAGACAATCAAAAGACTTCCATCACTCCTCAATCTTACAAGAGTACCTCCAGTTAAGTCACTGAATTTTATGCATCCTAATCTCTAACATATGTTGTGGACCATATTAGTAAAGTACCACATGAAGTATTTACTACCACTATTGAAATTGATGGAATGGAATTTTCAGAATCAGGTACGTGTATATTCTACGAATTATGTGATAACGAATTATCATACCCGGTAAAAAATTTTTCATGCATGAATATGTATAAATATGTCTAAATATACACAAACACGTATAAATATTCATAAATATGAATAATTGTATATGAAATATGTCCATACATATTCATACATCCCTTTTTCTTTTGTAAAATTACTTTTTAATGTAATAGAAATAGTAATAGTAATGTGAAAACATCAAAAATAATTAAAGGGATAATTTTCGCATTGTTCGTTTAAAAAAAAAAAACAAAATTGGAAAATGAAAAAAAAATTGCTCATACACAATTATACATAATTTTATATGTAATTATATGTACATAAGTAATTTTTTTATATTTTTTCAAACTTGATTTTTTCTAAAACAAATAGTGCAAAAATTACCCTTTTAATTATTTTTTATGTTTTCACATTGCTATTATTACTTCTATAACACTAAAAAATAATTTTACAAGAGAAAAAAGGATATATGGACATATTTCATATAAAATTATGTATGTTTATGAAAATTATACATGTTTATGTATGTTTATACACAATTATACATATTCATGCATGATAAATTTTTTATCCGGGTAAAATATTTTGAAATTATTATACATATATAAATGTAACCATTTTTATCTTTCAGGTACGAGCAAAGAGAATGCAAAGATAAATACGGCTAAAACAACATTACTGGAATTATACAACTTGAATTATTATACAATGTGACTCCAGAGTAAATTAGCAAAATTCAATAGCAAGTGATTAAAATAATTAATAAACAATATTTCACTTATTAATATAAGCTTTTTAATATGATACAAGAAGTACATAGATTTTTTTAAATCTGAATCTCTACTACAAAATATTAATAATTATTTTTGATATTTTGATGACATATAATGACAGATAATTTTATTGTTATTACTTACTCATACCCCAGTAAACGAGAATGGATTGAAATGGATTGAAATGGATTCAGATTTTCAGAAATATGGATTCACGAATATTAAAATGAATACTTTTCAATCCTGAATGTATTTTTATTCATTTATAGGAATTGTATGACGCATCTCTCTATTTTAATCTAAAAATAATATCAGCTTTTTCTATGCATTTCTGTGAATACCGTTTAATTCAAAATTTTGAATAAGAAATGCAGTTTTTCAATCCAAATGCATCCAATTGAATCTGATTGAATCCAATTGAATCCAATTAAATCTAAAAAAAGTATTCGTTATTTAAAATACGCATTCGGATAGAAAAAATTTCAATCCATTTTAATCCATTCTCGTTTACTGGGATTTACAATTACTCATATTTATAATAATTTTTGGTATTTTTTGCATTTTAATTTTTTGTCACGTAATAAACTCGAGTAGCACAAAGAATCCGCAAAGAATATTCTTTTTTACGAAATGAATTCTTGTGTTTTGTCTCATTTTTGCTCTAAAAGTACTTCTGAGTCTCAAAAAAGTAGAAAATTTTGTACCATTTTTGCAATAAAGAAATTAATTCATAAAGATCAACGTCCAATTAATTCGACAATAAGAAACAGCCTCTAGCTAATTTTTCTTATGCATGCAACAATATAAATAAAAAAATGACTCCCTTATATAAATTTAATTCTAATATTGGCCTATTAATTGGCTTATTATTTTGAATATCAAAAGTACTGTTAACAATTAAAATGCTTTGAATTGAATTAAAAAAAATTGTTTTAACGGTTCCAATAATCAGGGTTCCATAATATGAAGGTGATTAATCCTGGAAGATAATGATTAATTTCTTATTAAACTTTAAACAACAGTGTACTTTTAATACTCAAAATAAGCAATTAATAACTATTCTCTTTCAATATTAAATTGACAAGTATTAATTTGATCTATAAGGGTTGGTCTCTGCTTCGAGGATGCGAAATCTGCTTTACCGACAGTAACGAGCAGTACACTCGTTATCTGTTTTACCGACAGAACGCGAGGGATTGGGCGGGCAGCGGGCATTAGTCAACGGGCGTTACATACATACGCACGGATGACAAATCCGTCGCGGTTTTGCGCGATCTGTCCGGGGGTTATCGTTATCGCCACGTATCACGTATCGACTCTTCCTACCAGGCGTAGTAATCATGATCCTGCTCGAGATACACAACAGGATACTCGAGGAAACGTTGACGAACAAAATCAAGAATGCCCTCTCGGGGTAAGCATCTTGCGTGTCGTGCGGTCCTGTCGGGAATCCCGGTGCCCGTCTCGATCACCGCGTATCCTAACCTCAATCCGGAAGATGTGGCGCCGGGGCGGTGCCGCGTCCGTTTCTCCACGAGAAATTCCTACCCCAAGACTCGTCGAATCTAGACTTCCTTCCCTTTTAATTCCCCTTCTTTCCCCGTCCTCTCGTTCTTGGCTGCGTTCGTCCCATCTTACCTCACTCCGCCTCGAAATCTCATTCTTAAGATTTTACTTCAAGTATTTCTTTCAGCTTCGTTAATCTTTCCATTCGGATTTACCATATTTGTAAAATCTTGTTTTTCTAATCCACATGGCACACCTTATTAGAGGGATATTCGAGGAACGTCCTTAGGACATCCTTGGACGAAATCTTTAGAACATTCCTTAGAGGGATGAGAAATGTTTTGTTGAAAGATTTTTGACTTTCATTTCTCTTTCCATTGTCTCTTCCTTTATGTTTCTTTGCACTTTGCTTTACATTATTTCTATTTTGAAATGTTATCTGTAGAATTTTATTTTTAATATTTTTTTAAACTTGTAATCTCTAGATCTATGTGTTATCTTAGTAAAGCCTCGTCTTTTTAAATAATTAAAAAATAGATTTTTATTTTTTATATATTTTTTTGTTTTTTTCTATCATGTTTCTTTGTATT